AAATGTATAGGCTCAATAACCAAACAAGTTAGAGTAAAAAAATTTCCATAGTTTTTTTCTCTGTGATTCAAAGAATATCCTGACAGAGAGTTTTTTTAAAAATTATTAGTAGAACAGGGATTTATAAGAATTCAAAGTTGTGCGATTTTATTAATAAAAAAATTTTTCGATTTTTTTTCTGATAATCATTTCCTTTTAAGGAAAACGCAAAGTCTTTTTCTTAATAATAAGAATCGTAAGAATTGTAAAAAATAAAATATTCAAGTTTAAGTAAATAAAATGCCGAAGCCCAATAAAAGAAAAAGACTAATTCATAATGCATGTGTGGTCAAAAAAATGAAAACTTCCTCAGAACCTTTACTCCTTATTGAACAAGAAAATAATGTTCCAATACCATTAAGTAATAAGGCTCTAGAAGTAAAGCAAAAATTAATAAACAAAATCAATTCATTACCAGAAAAACAAATCTTTGCATGTTCTACATTGCTCGAAATTATGGTTTATCCTGATGGTATTAATAAGGGTGAAATTATTTCATCATACCTACAAAAAAAGGCACTAAATTTAGTTCTATCAAATCGGGAAAAACAAGATTCTAGTGCCACAGGGATCCAAAATAAATTAAAATTATTAAAGAGTGAAAATGAAAAGTTGACTAAGAAAATTGAATCAGCTACTTCGAAGAAGAGAACTCTGGCCATCAAACTAAAAAAACAAGAACAAAATAGAGATCTTTATATTTCACGAATGAGATCATTAGTTTTGAAAAGAAAAAATGTATCAGAAGAAGAGATCCAAAAAAATATAACAAAAAAGATTAAAGAGAATAAACATACCTATACGCCTGAGTTTACTGCTCTAATATCCCAAATTAGCAATATAGGTCAAATGTCATTATCTTCAACAACCCAGTGCACAAGAGAAGTCTTTACCTTTCTGACTGGTCATTCCCCGATACTTGGGTTTCAAAAAGTACTTTATCTTGATGGAATAAAGAAGTGGCAGAACTTGCAATTATTGAAAATCTTCCAAATTCCACTTTTACATTTGCTTCATATGGAATCCTAGCAGATGAAAGCACAAGAGGAGATAAAAAAATCTTCTTAGTATGTGTTGCACATTGGAATACAATCAAAGAGGAACCTATTATCACAATCCTAAGTATGAAAGACTTGGATTGTTGCACCTCAACCAATGTATCTACAACTGTGTTGAAAACCATTAGATCGTTTAACTTAAATCCCTTACATTGTCTATATTGGCTCACTGATAACACAAATTATATGTCAGGATCCAAGAATGGTGCTGTTGTTAATTTCAACAAAAGATTTGGAGCAAATGCAAGCAGGATTCCATGTGGCCTGCATGTTGTTCATATTGCAGCAACAGCTTTTGACAATACAACCTTTGGGAAAATCAATTCTCCCTCAGGTCTCTCCTTGAATCCCTATCCATTTAATGTAATAAATCTTGCCTATCATCTTCATAATGGATACAATGAGTCTGATAAAGATAATCCATTGAATATGAAGAATGAAACTATAAAAAAATTATATAAGACATTATTGAATGAAGATTTCAACAAATATCAAAAACCACTCACAAACCGTTGGTTATATCTATTAATAGCAGCAAGACAATACCTAGAACGATGTGAAATCCATCTTAAATTTACTCAATGGTTTGTTCAAGAGTTAGAATGCTCAAGGAATGTTCCTGAGGGATATCTTCATAAATGGAAAACATTCCTAGAATTCCTACTGAATGAAAAGTTGAATATAGAAATATTAATAATGGTTAAATTTGGGGAATGGTTCTATGAAAGAATAATAAATTTTTTAATTGGTTCTGATAAACATCCTTATATTATTCAAGGAACTTCTAGTAAACCTCTACCAAATGGATATCGTGCTCATCAGATGCCTGAAATGGTAGAGATTTGGATTGATGAATTAAAAAATGCTTTACAGAGTCCTGATGAAAATTTTATAAAGGAATTGCAGACAGCCCATGACCTATTAAATGAGCAAGAATTTCTAAATTTGGCAGATAAAGTACAATTAGGTATTGAAAAAGCTTTTGAAGCATTCAAAAAGTGGATGATTACTTGGACTCACCTTCCGTTTTGTATATGTAGTCTTGGAGGAGAGAGTGGTCCTGAATTTGCTCAAGCTGTTAACCATATAGTATTATCTTATCCTCTACCTGATGAACCTACTACAAGATTAAAAAAATATGTAAAACAGTTAAAAAAAATTTTAGAAGAAGGAAGAAGTGATTCTTTTGGATTATTTGAAGCATTGGAGCAATATGAGTTTAGAGAGCAATTTGTTGCATTTTCGAAAGCTGATTACACCCAAATGCAAAGATTTCCATTAATATATGAATTTGTTAAACATCGAATTTGGTCAATTATAGTCCATCAACAACATATTGAAGGAATGTTCAACAAATATGATATCAAAACTCACCCTAACATGAGTGAATCGTTACAGGAAGCCAGGCTCCAACTTTCAAGTCCTACCCCATTAGATTTTGAAATCACTAAAGAAAAATTAACAGCAATTCGAATGAAAAGACAAAAGGAAACTTCTTTATCCACAGATCTTGCTGTTGGGGAAGAAGCAGCTAAAAAATTAGCACAGAGTTTTTTAATACCTAGAAGAAATTAACCAATATTTTTCGCTACCTTTAAATCATATTTTATTTATATATTTATTTATTTATTTATTTATTTTTTTATTTTATTTATTAACGTTAAGCATTTCTTCAAAAGGAAAAGATTTTCAAAGAAAAAAAGATCAAAAATTTTTTATTAATAAAATCGCACAACTTTGAATTCTTATAAATCCTTGTTCTACTAATAATTTTTAAAAAAACTCTCTGTCAGGCTATTCTTTGAATCACAGAGAAAAAACTATGGAAATTTTTTTACTCTAACTTGTTTGGTTATCGAGCCTATACGTTTCAAAGTTTTAACAGTATTTTTAACAATTTGGATGATTTTACTAATAAAATTAAAAAAAACTCTCTGTCACCGTGTTCAGCATCACATTTATTACGATTTTTCTTAATTTCATACTTGTATCTTTTTTTTTTGAAGGAGTAGATGCAAATTTTATTTTTATATTCGTTGAAAAAAAGTTTATTAGTAAATTTTATATATGATGTCAATTAGTTTTGATCTACATAGTCTATCGTACAACCCAGTACTATACTATACTCAACCTGCATATACCCGTGTCCTTCCACCCATACATTATGACGAAATAGATTGTTTCGATCTCGATTTCGATAGCAAAATTTCGAGTGATAGCGTGTTATATAACATGCAGAACTATATGGAATTAATTATAAAACAAACCTAAATTTTCGAAATCCAAAATCGAAATTGAAAGTTCACTTTTTAAAAAATGGTGTGCTTTTTTTTCTTTAATAAGACACTTTTAAATAAAAAGACTTGTAAGTTTCGAAACTTCTTTGAATCTGGTAAATAAAAATATTGCCATAGTTTAACTAAAAAGATTTTTATTATCGATTTCGATTTCTAAATACTTTATTAAACTAGTGCAATATATTTTATAAGTAACTATGATAGATACAATAACCTGGACATGAAAATTATCAGAAAAGGACTTGGTGTACACAATCTCCCAACAACACATTTATTTGGCTAAAGTAACAACCACTGATGACAATAATTACTACTTTATTTTGTCAAGATCAACAACAACTTACAACCAATTCAAACTCTCGAGTGAAGGAAGACCTTAGTTACAGAAAAGCCAGAGCCATCTTGCGAATTATTCAAAGAGAAACTAATTTGTAGTGAAGTTGAATCGACGAACAAAAAAATATGTTTCAGAATCAGGTGTATCTGGTGAACCATCTGCAAAGACAATAATGTAATAACAAGTCAACCAACATCCTACTAAGCACCTGAACATTATTGTAATGATGTCGAAGAAGTCTAAATTTTATTTTTTTATGATAAAGAATAATAACAGAAGTATTCCAAGTAAAGAATGCCGAAGATAACAAGATTTAATCAATAAGATATTAACATGATTGATGCATATTTAAAAGCTTTTTCAAAAGATATGAGCGAAAATCTAAAGAGCATACCAACTGATGATCCAAAAACAGACTATATTATTTTGGTTAATTTAAAGAATTCTTTAGAATGAAGGAACCCTCTTTGGTTAATAATATTTTTGCACTCTAATGGAAATTTAAGTTCCATATGTATGTAAATTCTCTCTTTTTTTTCCAATTTTCGGTTTCCTTTTCTTTCCATTGAAGAAACTTTTGGTGAAAATTATGAATTAATTTATCCAAGGTATGATTTATGATTTATTATGTATAGTAAACCGATTGATAAAGAAATGATAAATGATAAATGATATAAATGATGTTATTAAATAAATCAATTGATGCATTAAAAAAACATTAGGAAAAAATTAATTAAACAATCATATAAAATTTCCATTCTCAGAGATGTTGATTGAATAGAGTTGTATTATGCAATGGTTGTAAAGAAAAGGTAATCGAGAACTTAGAAGCTGATTATGGAAATAAAAAAATAATCAAGTTTCTTTACAAATGTTATTTATTAATTATTAATTATAACTTATAGTTGAGAGTAAATAATGCCTTGGAAACATTTGAAATGGAAATTTACATAATTTATTCAAATTAACTTCATTATTATTAAAACAATGTACAAATTTATAGTTTTGGAATGATTATGTGGGAACATACTGTAGGTAAAAAATTATCACCTAATAATGGATATTCTTGAGGAACAAGACCTAAAATTACCAAAGACGTTAAGAGAATTGACCAACTGTCAGAGAAATTTATTGTCATTGCTATAGTATCATTAGTTCTTCTAAAAATAAAACGTGATTTTTGATTTAATCATTAAATCAGAAAAATATCTGTCAAGAGCAAAGAGTTACAAATACCATTTAGATGCATTCTCCCACTTAGTAAATTAATTGAACAGGCCAATTTACAAAATAATAGAGTCAACAATCCACTGTATCAATAGATCACGATGATTCAAATAAAAAAACACTTAATTGAATATAATTTTAACAGTAATGCCTCAGTATTTGTGCCAATGTAGATAAAAATGAATACCAGTGACAATAATGATAGGAGTTGTAACAATGATGATTGGTATTAGTAATAATAAAAGAAGCAATCAAAAAAAATCAACATACTTTTTAAAATGTTTTTATTATTATTACTAAAAAAATAGTATTTATAAATTTTATCAATTAATTGAATATGTATATGAATTATTTTGGTCGAACAGATACGGTGAACGCAAACTATTCACGTCTAAAGAAATCAATAATTAACTATTCCTCGGATAGAGATAGCTATTTCTGGCGCGAAGAGCATGGGAGTCATGATTTAGAACGGACACACAGCACAAAAATTTCCTTTGAAACTTAAAACCTTTGATCAATTCGTCGTCGTCATCATCACTCGCGCACCACTAGAACCATTAAAAATTCGAATGCAAGCACGATGTGGTAACTCATCATCTCTAACATCTACCACCTCCAGCAACACTGTGATATATAAAGTACCAGTTGATCACGTTAAACAATCGATTAGAAGACATGAGATAAGAAATGGGAGTAACCGTTATCAGAGAAATACCTGTTATGCCAACTTCTACTTCATAAAAAGAAGTCGGTACTAGCCCGGAGGGATTATCTTATCGAAGGAAAGTTTATTCCACAACAAAAAAGAATTTCGCGTTTTTTTGCACAAACAAACTGATTCATCTGAGTTTAATGTGACAAATGATATTTTGCTTTTATAATTATAGTAATTTTTATAAAAATTTGTAAATGGATTTTCAAATAATCAATATAATAATAATGAAATCAGCGCAAATCTGTACTAAATATGTATAACTTTGGTTTGGATTATCTCAAGATTATTTCTTTCCCTCTATTCAACTAATAAGTAAATAATGGTAAGATCAATTTGTAATTAATTCACAATTTCGTAATTAATGATTAATTTGTTCTTTTCCACATTAATCTCTCGCACATATACATTAAATAAATAAGTCAACGACCTGTGAAATAGATCCGACAGTAATAGAAAAACTTCGAAAGTTTAGATTTGCAAAAAAATCAAAAAAAGGCTGTGCTGCTTTTGTTTGTAAGTTTTGTTTGTTTTTCTGTTAAAGAGGAAAAAAGAGTAAATGAAATGAAAATAATAATGAAAAATATAACAACAACAACAACAACAATAATGGTTGTAATGGTGAAAATAAATAAAATAACATAATTAAAGAACATAAGGATTTCTCTTTTTTTTTATAAAAAAAAACACTTAATAAAAAAAATAAAGTAAAGATTGATCGAGAAAATTTAGTGGTTGTTGAAGATGAAATCCATGATGATATAACTTTAGAAGAACTTGTCGAAGGTAACCAATCACATTACACATGTTTTAATGGTATGTAATTATGATAAATTTATCTATTCATCTAATTGTCAACATGCGTAGAACTTCCTGAGAATGCACCAAGATATATTGTGTTAAGTTATGAGGTATGAAGAAAATAAGGGATTAATTTTTTCTTTAATCATCATCGTCATGACTTTAATTATTATTTTAACATGTATTATTATTATTATCAGTTGAATCATGAGGATGGAAGAAAATCATATCCATTAGTATTAATTTATTATTCACCTATATCTACAAATCCTGAAGCACACATGCTGGTAACAATTTATTTTTTAACCTATTTTTATTTATTAATTATTAATTATTTTTAATGTTGTTACTTACAGTCCACTGATCATTTATTATAGTATACTAGTTCAAAAGTATATTTTCAACAAAAAGCAGATTTAAATAAAGTAATAAAGCGGATAAATCTACTACTAAATTAAACAATTATTTGACCTTCATTTTATTAACTCATTATTAACTTGATATTAATTCGCATATATTTATTTAGACATTTGACATTCGTGAATTAGAATTGCTAAATGATGAATGGCTAAAGGTGGGTAGCGAGAGAAAAATTTTTGTGTGAAAGAAAAAAAATAATGTTTATATATTTTTGTAAGGAAAAAAAATATTTATTAATTTAATTAATTCTTTTATAGGAGAAATTATTACATTAAGGAAATACATTCTTAACGATAAAAGTAAAAGAAGAGCAAGGATGAGAGCGGCAAAGATGGACAATAAAAGATTATTCCTATATCTTCATAATAATAATCTGTTATCTATACTTAATAAGAATATATTATTCTTCTGCAAAACCATGTTTAATCTTCTTCGTTGGTCCATTTTACTCTTGCATCTGAAACCACATGTAATATGCTTCCTTCAAGGAGCTCTTCTAATATTCTCTGATGGTGTCTCGGAGCAAAAATAACGAAAAAAGTTGATTTCCCAAATCCTTACCATTATCGATGTTATCATTGACGTAATAAATAATTGCATCACCCAAGTAATAAATAATACCATGTGGAAAATGAACAAATAATGCGTCTACTCGGGATATAGTCCCTTAAAGGCAAATAATTAAAAATCTACCACAAACATGCGTTAAGGTACTCTCGCACGCTTCATATCCATGGATTTTTTATTCCATGGGTGAGCCACATACATGTTGGAAGACGAAAGTTTCAAGTTCACTTTCATAAATAATCAGTTGTAAACTTGGATCTTTTGATTTTTTTCTTTTAAAAAACTTTTGCTAAATCCAATCTGCATAAAATTCTTGACTATTAAATTTCTACAAAATAGTTTTTAGCAAACCTTATTAACCAACACCCCAATAAAGTAATGACCATATTAAAACTTAGAGTATTTTACACCTCATTAGTCACTATCAGGTCTTTAAAAATGAATTGCTTGCGATTAACTGACAAGAGTAGCCATACTTGTTAAATAATCAGTGTGAAATTTGAAATATTGAGTGGGGTGAAATTCTGATTGGCTAATTTGAATTGCGAATTCACATAATTTCATTTTCACGTACAACATTACCAAAAGGTTTTCTTGTGGTATGAAAGTTTATTTATACCTTTCCATATATTTAATTGGGACTTGGTAGGAAAAGAAGGTTAAAAAAAAACGTAACTGGGCGAAAAAAGAAAATTGTAGGAAAATGTCTATAAGTGTTTTTTTTATTTTTTAATTATTTGACAGTGTTGTATATATTAATGTGAATTTTGAATTCTTTACATATGTGAATTTAAATTTCAAATTCACATAATTTCAATTTCATGTACAACATATATATAACAAATATAGTTATTTATGAAAATAAAAGTTAGTTTTTACATGGGTTAAAATAGCAAAATATTGCACACAAATGACTGAATGACTGATTAAATTTTATTATTCATTTTTATAAAAAACGAATTTTATTGTTGTTGTCCACGGCCCTGATTTTGTTGAGGACCTCCTGGAGGAGGTGGTGGTGGTGGTCGCATGGCTGGAGGTCTAAATCCTTGAGGTGGTGCTTGGCCAGGTACCGGAAAACTATATAACATATATGTTTGTATATATTTATCTATACAATAAAATTATTAATCTTTACTGAGAGGAAAAAAAATACTTGATTGCTTACCCTGGAGGCATTCCACGCCCGCCTCCTGAAAAAGGTGGAGGTCCACCAGGCTATTAATTAAACAAGGAAAAATTTGTAATCAAATAATTTAATCAAACAAAAAACAATCAAACAATTAATTGATAATTACTATTCCCATAGACATTGGTCTCATTCCAGGAGGTGGTGCGCCTCCTCTAAAAGCTGGTGGCATACCTCCCATTACAGATGGCATACCCGGTGGTGGTCCCATCCCACCTCTATAACCAGGTGGCATACCTGCCATTACAGGTGGCATACCTCTAGGTGCCATTCCGGGTGGCATTCCAGAAGGAATTTGTCCAGGAATTGGTGGTCTACCATATGATATAGGCGGTGCTGCTGCTGCTGCTGGAGCTGTTCCTCTTGGTTGCATTATACTAGGAGATGGCCCACCTATACCGCGAACAGGTCCTGTAAGACCTTTTTTTTTTGAAAGAATAATTTGTTGAATCATGATAAAATTTTTTTATAATCATATAAAGTTAATAAAAAACTTACCTGCTGGGGTAGCACCTGGTGGTGCGACTGGTAAACCTCTACCAGCAGGACGACCTATACCAGGACCAATAGGAAGCTAATTAAAATAAATAATTATGTAAATTATGTAAATAAATAAATAAATAAATAAAATTTTTTTTGATAAAGTGATTTTTTACTTGTGCTAACTTAGACTTTGATTCATCAATAGCTGGTGGTGGTGGTCCATCAACACTTAGACTAACGATAGTTTCACCTCTTAGAATCACTAAACCCAATGTTCTTTTCTCTTCATGTTCTGGTTGACCCTGTGGTACTTTTGATCCACTTTTAGGTTTAATTTTTCGGAATTCTTCACAATCGGCCAACACCAAATTCATATGCTTATCAAAAGCTAACATCTGCCCTGTTAAGACTCTCGAATCTGACATTGTTATTCGAAGTCGATAATTTATCAGATTTAACATTTTGGAGTTCTTTGTTATCGACTACATTTAATATATTCAAACAAATGTTTAATTTTTCCCCAAACAACATTAAACTTTTAAAACAACAGATAATTACCATCCAAAATATTATTTAGAAAAGACTATTAAAAACAAAGAATGTTCTTACCATTTTGAAATTTCAATTGATTCAAAGAAAATTTTTTTGGTAAACAAAATCTAAATATTATAAAAAAAAAAAATTTAAAAATCCAACTCGTGTGATACTGTGATACAAGTTGTTTATATTATTATTATACTATAAATAACACGTGATATGCGTACGTTTTTTGTTCAAGTAAATTTGCTAAAAACGAGAAGCAAACATTTAACGAGGTTCATGATCCAAAATATAAACGTGGTGATTATTCAGTTAATTACATATACGATCGTTGTCTCACAACAAAATCATACCAGATTTATGGTATAATGATCAATTTATTAGATAGTTATCGTGGACGAAAAATAGAAGTGGCAAAACGTCTTGAGAAAAAAACCCAGAACTTTTAAATTCGGATCATAGATTTCAAGTTTTAAATATCTTTGTATTATAAAGCTTGAAGCATAGGCATATAGGAACATATTCTTTAAAATAATAAGTTCAATTGATAATTTATTACATTTATGTTGTTGTTGCTAGGCAAAAATCCTTGGGTTAATTAAAGTTTAATTAAAGTTTAATTAAATTTGAAATATGCAGCTAATAATTGGATTGTATTTTTATTAATATTAATATTGATATTACACTTTGAAACTGTCAATTATCTGCAAGGATTATGCCATGCAAATAGGAAATTAAAATGTATATTAATATAAGAAGGACTTTCGGTGGAAAATAAGGTTCAATTTTGGATGAATGCAAGAACCTACTCTTACATAATAGAAATAGTAATGTTGTCATCATGCAGTAGCAATAGTAAATAAAATCACATTATATCTTGTATACAGTCAACTCTCGTTACAGCGGGCTTTTTTTTGCTTCCCCAAGTTTTTTTTAACAGTGGAAAATTACATATGGAACTGAGGGTCCACTATTACTATAACGAGAGTTCTGTAATATCTAATAATAAACCTGCATTGAAATATTATCTCCTAATCTAATACTGCAAAACTAGATCGTAAAATTTATTTACTCGGTGTAATATTTAAATTGTTGTAGTACTGTACGTGAAAATGAATAATAATATGACGCACCACATTGGAAAATAGTGACTAAAAAATTTATATTACCCGTTTTTATATATATTAATTTTATATTTATAAAAACATACAATTAATAAATTAAAGATAAATAAATAGTTAATTAATTATAAGAATAATAGAAATGAAATCTTCAATCCCTTCCCAATATTTATAATTGTTATTGTTCTTGAGGAAGGGGAAAAGATAAATTAATAATAATTATAACAAAAATGTCGTAAGATAAAAAAGTAAGGATCCTGTCCTCCAAGTAAAAAGAATTGAAGATCTAAAAAAATTTTATACAGGATTTTTTTTTAAAAAAAAAATTAAAATTAAAAATAATTGTTATATTAATATATTATATTCACAAAATAAAAATAAAAATAAAAATGAAAATTTTTTTCTAAATATTAAAATATTTTTTATATTCAAAGCTTTAATTCCTACAAAATATAACAAATGTAATAGATAAATATTAGTAATTGTTTATTCATTCATTGTAATAATATGATAACATAAACCAAAGTCATAAAAAAAATAAAGGTACCTCGCTTAATACAAAATTAAAAAAAATAATAATCATGACGACGGTGCTGCACTTAAGCCATTTTCTTTCTACAAAAAAAATTTTTTTTATTAATAAAAATAGTATTTATTAAAAATACAAATACAAATTATTTTATTAATCATTTACCATTGCTTCTTTAACTTTATCAAATTCTTTAATCATCTTTCGTCGAGCTCCGAGTGCTGCCACACCTTTCTGTTCTAATGTTGGATCATCCAATTCAATAATATCTTGCCATTTCATTCCTTCAAATACCTGCGTATATTTATGCAATCGAAGACTTCTAAGCCATGCAGGAACATCTTTTTAATTTGAAAAATTTTATTTTTATTTTTAGTAAAATGTTATATATATATATATATATTATCTGAATCATAAATCATTTATTTACCTTCTAATAAGTTAAAATCAACTGTATCATCGGTTTGTTTCTTTTTAGCTTTACCATGACCCTTTGGTTTATTATTATTATTACCAGCATTATGTGAAGCATCACTATGATCGCTATGATAACCGTTATTTTCATCGCTACCGACACGTACTAGATTAGGTGGTGGTGCTAAATGTGTTCCACTACCACCTTTTCCATTTGATGCCGACCACCCACCATGATGAGCTTGATATTGATTGTTGTGATGATGGTTTGGTGATGGTGGCCTTGAACCTTGTCTTGAACCAACAATATTTGGGCTTGGCATTGGAGATTGTTGAGGTGATCTTAAATTACCATCAGTATCATACATTGATAATACGATATTAGTTCCAAGATTTGAATTATTATTATTGTTATTATGATTATGGTTATGATTGTTATGGTTATAATTGTTATTGTTATGATTGTGATTATAATGATTGTATTTTTCTTCTTGTACAGTAGCAGGTACACCCGAATTATTTTTTCCTTGATTACGGCGAAACTTTTTAACATCACTTTCCAAAACAATTCTATTGCCTGAGCTATTACTTAAATTCCAATTTGCAAGTTTCTTATTGACCAATTCTGCATCTGCAGCTTGTTTGTTTTTATTTTCGGCAAACATTGGCACAACCGGCGTCGGAACCATACTAGCCCAACTACCGCCTACTAACGGTGATAATTCAGCATCAAAAGCACCAGGTCTAGGCGAATGTATAGAGTAACTTGGGGTCCAAGCACTAAGGTCGGCTGATTTTGGTCTACCATTAGTTGTACGGTCCTTAAGAAAGATTATTATTAGAATTATTAGAATTAGAATTTTTATTGAAGAATTACTATTATTACTGACTATTGTTATTATTATAAACATTATTAGATTAGTATTAAATTACGTTATTATTGTTATTGTTATTATTATTATTATTATTATTGGCAGAAACAGAATTGGCAGTTGTAGGAGTTTGTGCAACTGAGGAATTCCATAGACTTGGATCTGTTTCTGATATCATCGATTTTGGTCTTGTTTGAAATAAAGTTGCAGAACGATTACCGGTATTTGCTTGAAGTCTTGCTCTTTTTTGTGCCAATGCCACGGCAGGATCTGTATAAATGGCGGCTTCGGGCGATAGGAAGTCTACACCGGAATGTCTATCGTAAAGACGACGTGGATATGTTTGACTGGTTGGTGATTTTAGTGACATTGCTTCTGTTTTAATTGCACCTGATAATTGCGCTTGCATTAAATCTATATATATGAGAGGAGAAGACAGTGTGCGTGCATGATATGTGAGTTGAGTGTTTATATATATATATATATATATATATATTAAAATATCAAAAGGGAAATTTGATAAATTTAGAAATTTTTTTTGTAAAACAATTCAATATTATTTTTGTTAAAAGATAGTATTAGAATAAATTATTATGATGATCAACTTTATGTGTATACACTTGATGTATATATATACATTTCCTTTGCTTAATTAATTAATTAATTCTGATCTTGCTGTTCTATTTTTTCACACACATTCATTACACTGTAACTGACCTTTCTCAGGATTTGCTGGTGATAAAAGAGCACCCATTGGATCATTTCTAGCCATCTGTTGTAAAACAGTTATGAAAAACCTTATTTGTACTTGAGTTGAATGCTGAAGCAGACTGAATAAAGCAGCTGTCCTTTCAGCTTCCGATAACACACGAAACCATTGTTCAATAGCTTTTAATTCTTCTTTAAAAGTTTCATCTAAACTTGCCGTTGCCATTTCTTCAAGAGTTTGTTCGTAGTGTTGAAGATCTTCAAACCATTTATCAATTGCTTCAGCTAGATAATAATTTATATAATTATTTAATTGATTAATTAAAGGAACAAAGAAGTAGATAAAACTTTTATTATAATTATGCATGTATACACATATATATTTGTTTAACTTTACCTTCAGGTGACTGATATGAGTTGTGATTGTTAGTGGGGAATACTTCGGAGGTTGGGCGAGAGCCTCTATGGTTGGTGGCTTGTTGGCCACCTAAATGTGATAAATCTGCTGACATTCTGTATTGAGGATTGGATCCTGACTTTTGTTGTGTTTGTGTTTGAAGATTATATTGTTCAGAAACTGGCCGTGGTGTTGCCATTTAATATATATATATATATTAAAATTTAATGAAATACTTTTGATAAAATACTAAAAAAAATTTTTTAAAGATCAGGAATAACTAATAAAACAAATTAAAAAAAAAAAATTTTTATATAAAAGAAAGAAAGAGTTTTTTTTAACAAACAAATAAATTATTATTATAAAGAACAAACAAAATTAATTAACCTGTCCTTCCTTCCTTGTTCTTATTTATTTTAAGGAAATTTTAATGGTAGGAAAAGATATTTATAATTATTTAATTAATAATATGGGGTAACAAAATATATCGTTACACTGGATGTGACGATTCGATCGTGACATACAGGAGGGAACGTACTGGGAACACAAAATTAACAGGAGGGAACACAAAAATTTAACCCATGCAATTTTGTTGATT